GGGAATTGCCTGCTTGTTATAAATGCAGGTTCCTGGATCAAATTTCAGTTGGATGAGCTCTATCATCTGAGAATCCCTGTCTCTGGACGAAGTATTTCTCTCTAGGCTTATGATTTCCAAGTTGTGCTTCTCAGAAGACGTTTCCATTAGGTAGGGAATGCTTATGCAGGAGTGACTACACTGTGCACTAGGAGGCATCACCTAAAGCATGGGTAAGGATCCCCCCTGTGGTCCTTGGGAGAAATGAAGACTTATTCTTTCTTTTTTAAATTAACATATTTGACAGAGTTAGAGGGAGAGAGAGATTATCTTCTTCCCATTGGTTCACTCCCCAAATGGCTCCAATGGCAGGGGTTGGGCCAGGCTGAGGCCAGGAGTCCAAAACTCCATTTGCATCTCCCTAATGGGTGGCAGGAACCCAGAATACTTGGATCATCTTCCACTGCTTTTCCCAGGCCTTTAGCAGAGAGCTAGAAGGGAAGTGGAGCAGCCAGAACATGAAACGGGGCCCATATGGGATGCCAGCATTGCAGGTGGTGGCTCTACCTGCTGTGACACATCACCGGCTCTGAGACAATATCATTTTTTTAAATAAGTGTATCTTTCTATTTATTTGAGAGGAGAGGTACAGAGAGAAAAGTCTTCCATTTGCTGATTTACTCCCCAAATGGCTGCAATGGCCAGTGCTGGGCAAATCCGAAGCCAGGAGCCAGGAGCTTCTTGCAGGTCTCCCACACAGGTACAGGAGTCCCAGCATTTGGGCCATCTTCCATTGCTTTCCCAGGCCATAAGCAGAGAGCCGGATTGGAAGAGCAGCATCCAGAACACAAATCGGCACCCATATGGAATGTCAGTGCCACAGGCAGAGGCTTAGCCTATTACAGCACAGTGCCGGCCCCAAGACACTGTATTCTTACATAGGAAGCAGCCAGCCTGTAGCATCTGAGGCAATGACTGAGACAAGAAGCCAGGCAGCCTTGCTGTGGTGGCACCATAGCACTGCTTTCCTTGCAGTCCTCACAGCTGACTTAATGGAGGCTGCAGACCTGAGTGAGGCTTAAGAGCTGGACCTGTCTGCAGATACATGAGCCTCATGGTGTTGAAAACAATCTGACTTGTATCTCACAATTAAAATTGGACTTCCATACACAAATCACTCAAGAATCTGGATCCCCTAGGGGGTCGGTGCTGGAGCACAGTGGATTATGCCATAGCCAGGGCTGGGCCAGACTGAAGCCAGGAGCCAGAAGCTTCATCCGGGTTTCCCATGTGGGTGCACCATTGCTTTCTCAGGCGCATTAGCAGGGAGCTGGACTCAAACCTGCTGCGCCACAGCGCTGGCCCCAGTTGGGGGAATTTCTCACCCCTTGCCCTTGCATCCAGTTCAGCACTGTCCCTCCCCCACCTTCCGTGCACCTGGCCACTTTCCTCATTTCCTTTGCCTGCCTGGCTCACTCCAGCACATGACTTGCAGCACTGCGAGGAGGCAGCAGGGAGAATATAGAATACAAAAGCAGGTGCTCTTAGGCACTTGTCCCTGTCCTCCCACCTGTTTGAACCAGTTGATTATAATGAAAAAATGCTTAAAGGAAACCAGGTGGAAGCTAGACTACAACAAAGGGAAAAAGAATCAAAAGTGGCTTCTGTCGCTCCCCCTCTTCGCGGAGGAACGGCACAGGACCCTGCGCTGTTCTTTTATCTGTTCGGCCCTTCCCGGGTTTCCTGCTGGTCCTTCCCGGGTTGGCTGCTGACCCCTCCACCTCCGTGGAAGGGCGGTTCCCCCTGCCACTTTCCCCACTTCCGCAGGGGAGCGGCACACCGCCAGCCGGCTCTCTCGGGGGCTGCTCAAGTGTTCCTTCAGATAGATGTTCCTGGTGCATGTTGTCTCTCTCCTCCTTTATAGTCCTCTTCCACCAATCCCAACTCTGCTATCCACACACCGAGTACGCTGCTCTCCTCCAATCAGGAGCAGGTCCTGCTGTTTATTGGTTGAACTGGAGGCAGCTGTGTAGAAGCTGTTTCCTCCTCTCCCAGCGCCATATTGTGGGAGAGCAGATGCATAGAATAAGTCTTAATTCCAGTAACAGTCTAGTCCGAGTTGCTCCCCACAGGCTTCCTGTTTTCACAACTGCTCAACCACTCAGTGACGCCTGGGCTCCATCTCCACTTGACATGGCTGCTTCCCTGCGTATGACCCTTGGCTTCTGGATTTAGAGGGGAGATTTTAAAACCAATTCTTCTTATAGAAGAATTGTAAACACCATTTGCTTGTGTTGGTATTGGGACTTTAATGAAAAAAAGAAAATTTAGAGAGATGTAACTATTTCCTTATACTTGTTAAGTACCACTTGTTGGCCTGGGCTGGCTTGATTCCTACCGTTCTCACAGTATTTCAATCTTCACAAACCCCATGAGGCAGGTATTGTTACCCAGCTTTCTGGATGAGAAAACAGAGGTTCAGAGGCTTGCCCAGGACACCTAAGTGATATGGGACTGAGCTGTTTTAAATACAGATGTGCTAGGGGGCTGGCATTGTAGCATAGAGGATAAAGCCACCACCTGGACACTGCCATCCCATATGGGCTGATTTGAGATCTGGTTGCTCCACTTCCAATCCAGCTCTCTGCTAATGTGCTTGGGAAAACAACAGAAGAGCTTGGGTCCCTGCACCCACATGGGACCCCGGCCATTTGGAAAGTGAACCAAAAGGCTGATCTCTCTCCCTCTTCTGTAACTTTCAAATCAAATACATACGTCCATAACTACAGATATGCCTGACTGTGAAGTCAGATGTTTCTACCACAAGGTCTAACTTTATATCCTCTAGTTTTTGTACAATATGGTGTCAAAACACCTAATGTTCTAAGTAGAGACATGGATAATGCAGGTTAGACTACTTTAGAAATTTAACAGGTTGTTTTTGATAGTGTGGTTGTTCAACTTGCCTTTGGGCTACCATTTTCACAGGTGACTACTGAGGAATGCCTGTGAGTTGTAAGAACTTGTAGTCATTTTCCATTTATTTAATACTATAAGGTGTAGTCGTTCGAAACAGGATATTTTTTTAAGATTTTATTTATTTGACTGAGTTACAAACATTGAGACAGAGAGAAGGGTCTTCCTTCTGCTGGTTCACTTCCTAAATGGCCGCAAGGGCCGGAGCTACACTGATCTGAAGCCAGGAACCAGACGCTTCTGTGGCCTGATGAGGTGGAGACCAGTCCTATGTGGCTATTACACTTGAAATTTAGCTAGTCTGAATTGAGGTGAGTTGTAAAATACATACTAGATTTTGAAGAAAAGTAAAATATTTCATAAAGTTTCAAAAATGTTGATTTGGTAAAGTGAATTAAATGCATTATTGATTTGTCACTGTTTTTCTTAATGTGACATGAGAAAATTTAAAATTGCTTGTCACTCATAATGGAGAGGATTAAGCAGTAACTTTTAATATAGAATTTTTATTGCCATGAAACACGAGTTTTTTATTCAAATCATTGATCTAATTTCAGGTACCCCCTCTTTGCAATAACATGAAAATACCCGGGGCTGGTGCTGTGGCTCACTTGGTTAATCCTCTGCTTGCAGCATCCCATATGGGCGCCAGTTCTAATCCTGGTTGCTCCTCTTCCAATCTAGCTCTCTGCTGTGGCCGGGAGGGCAGTGGAGGATGGCCCGAGCGCTTGGGCCCCTGCAACCGCATGGGAGACGAGGAAGAAGCACCTGGCTCCTGGCTTTAGATGGGCGCAGCGCCGGCCGTAGCGGCCATTTGGGGAGTGAACCAACGGAAGGAAGACCTTTCTCTCTGTAACTGCCAAATAGAACAAATTTCTCACGTTACTTGTCAATGAGTAAAACAGAACTTTGATGTCTACTTGTGGGAGCATTAACATTTTGAGGATTATGTTGATAGTTTCATCATGTTACATTACCATGCTGAGCCATTTTTTAAATTCTTATTTGATGGGAATGAGCTCCCAGGTCACTCCCCAAATACCCAGGAAAGCCAAAAGCTGTGCTGAAGCCAAGAACTCAATCCAGGTCTCCCACCAGAGTGGCAGGTATCCAATTATTTGAGCTATCACAGCAGCCTCCTAGGGTCTGTATTAGCAGGAAGCTGGAGTCAGGCATGAAGTTGAGTTTTAAACCCAGGCACTCCAATATGGGATGTGGGAGTTTTCCATCTAAGCCAAATGCCTCCCCTAAGCCTTTTAAGATTTACTTATTTGAAAGGCAGAGAGGTTTTTTATCTGCTGTTCACACCTGGAATGGCTGCAACAGCTGGATCTGAGCTGACCTGAAGCCAGGAGCCAGAACTTCTTCCAGGTCTCCCATGTGGGTGCAGGGGCCCAAGGACTTGGGTCAACCTCTACTGCTTTCCCAGGTCATAAACAGAGAGCTGGATCAGAAGTGGAGCAGCCGGGACTTGAACTGGTGCCATTATGGGATGCTGGTGTGGCAGGCCAGGGTTTTAACCCTCTGCCATCTTTTCAAAAATTTTTTTAAAGATTTTATTTATTTATTTGAGAGGTGGAGTTACAGACAGTGAGAAGGACAGATCTTCCTTCCGCTGGTTCACTTCCCAAATAGCCGCAACGGCTGGAGCTGCGCTGATCTGAAGCCAGGAGCCAGGTGCTTCCTCCTGGTCTCCCATGCGGGTGCAGGGCCCAAGCACTTGGGCCATCCTCCACTGCCCTCCCAGGCCATAGCAGAGAGCTGGACTGGAAGAGGAGCAACCAGGATAGAAATCTGGCGCCCCAACCAGGACTAGAACCTGGGGTGCTGGTGCTGCAGGCGGAGGATTAGCCAAGTGAGCTGTGGCACCAGCTTCAGATCACATAGTATTTTAGAGTCCTTCATGTTTCAGTCTCAGACTGTTTTAGAATGATTATCCTTGTAAGTTAAATGCTTTTTTTTTTAAAATGAGTCTGGCAATGCTAACTTTCCAGTTAGCTTTTTCATGGGAAACATCACCAACTGAATAAACTAATACTGTAATATTTACAGCTTATAACACAACTTTTATTAGAAAAGTTATACATAACATAGCATTAACTATTTTCAAGAACAATATTAAACCCAATAGGCAACAAAAACCAGACTAACAAAATGTGTAACAAGAAACTAATGACCTTTCTATAATCAAACATTCAATTATCTACAATGTCTTTTTACAAAAGGGGAAAATTCCATGGTTTACAGGCACATCATATGGAAATTAAAGCTGCAATAGCAATTTTGTACAATTACCATTCTCAAGAAACTGAATCATTAAAACAGTAATTACGAGTTCACAAATTTAAAACATTTCACATAATTTTAAATTATTGGGTATACACTGAAGTCTGTGTTTCAAAAAGTGATTTTTTTCCACAAAAGTGCCAACACTTAAGCTAGAACTTTCAGTGTAATTTTTCCCTAAAAAGTTAAAACATATTTTGATAATCACAATAGTCACATAATTTCTGGTGCTATCTGGTCTGTTAATAAAAGCTTTATTTAGATGTGTTTTTCACTTAAATTATAGGAAACCAGATACAGGATTTCAGTTGCAAAGCCATTAAAATAAAAGTTCCAAACACCGGAGTGTGCAGCACTGGAAAAAGATCAGTACTAACTTTTATAATAAATATCAGAGAAGCCATTAGTTTTTACAGCATTGTCTGCTAAAAGGTTAAGTCAACCACATGTATAATTTCCCATCCATCTGCCCTTTTGGTAGGCAAATCAATTTCTATTTTCATGATCTGAATATGCAAACAGATAGATCCAAGCGTTTTTTTTTAAAAACTCTTGATTTATAGCTCCTGGAACATTATAAATGTTTCCTATGGTCGTGTGACTCTGAAAAGTTTTGTCTGCTCACTCTAGAGCATTCCTAAAACTACAAACTCCAGGATACCAAAGTTCATAAAAGACTTAACTGGAATGATTCACAAAATAGAATACTTTAAACCGAGTCAGTCTTATCTTCTTATAGCTGACAGGGAGCAGCCACAGCACAATTTCACATACACCTTATTACGGAATTAGACTTTAAAATGTATCTCAAGATGACCTTTGCTGTTTCAGGTACTATTCCTACGTACAGTGTTTAACAAGACAACTGCCGTTGTTACTGGTGATGGGAAGGCTTTTTTTTTGTTCCTGTCAAACAGTCTTCTTAAACTGTCAGGCATTCTTTTTAGATAGTTCTCCATCACTACATTGAAAAGGAAAACCTAAGATAAAAATTATGACTGGTACTCAACATTAGTACATGCACCGATATTGCACACGTGTGTTCTGAACTGTTTGAAATAGTCTTCTGGGGCACTGTTTCCTCCATCAGCACAAACATAACCATATAAAGCAGTTTCCTTTAAAGATGAAATTGATAAATTTAACATAATAGGAAAAAAATGAAGAGAGAAAAAGGCAGAGGCTTTGTACAGACAAAAACCTAAATTTTCTTGAAAGGTTTTGTGTGCCCTACACATGGGGGCGATTTGTATGCACTAGTGAAATAAACACTAGCTATAATGTTTCTACCTCCTCAAATAATATGGAACCTTGGTCCAGGTGTTGCGATGATGTCACTGTATGGTTCCTCCTGTGTCAGCTCAATAGCTTGCTGTTTTTTAAGAACCAAAAAGCTGTAGAACTTTGCTGCAGCTTGCTTTCTGTTCGTGTTTCGACATAACTCAAGCAAACTGATAGATTCAGCTCCAGTTTTAGCAAGAGCACGCTGCAAATAAAACCAAAGAGGTGATACATTAATTTAAAAAGGATGCCAATAAAAGTGAACTATATATTTTGTTGGCACTGTTGATGAACATTTTGAAGATCATACAATGGGGGTACATCAATAATCTAAAGAAGTCTAAGAAACAAGCAAATTGTTTTGATGTATTAAAATAACTCATTCCTTTTTCTATCTAATGGGATATACAATAGTAACATCTTGTTTGTGTTTGGTTCATTAAGGCCCAGGATTAAGTGAGATCTGATGCTGTAGCACGATCCAACAAATTTAATATTTTAATACATTAATTTTGCTCAACCAAAAATATGAATGTAGACTATTCAAGAGAACTATCACCACAGTTCTTCTCAGGATAAACACAGGAAAAATATTCTTCTAGATGCTGGCCTAAAATAGTTTACTTAATTAAAATGTCTTTTTAAAAACTTTGTAGAGGTAGGGTTTCTGGTGATAACACCTTAACTTCTCTTTGAAGGAACAAAGATGACACTGACATACCTGAAGACCATGGAGCATCTGTTGGGTCCTTTTGTTCCACCTTCTTTCTTCCTGATCCTGGTCGCCCCCCAAAGCATCTTCATCCTGAATGAAAATGAGCCCCGCAAAAAGGTCACAAAACTCCTTTGCAGCAAACATTTGCCTAAATGTATGATTCTACATTGGTTTAGAAGGATATATGTAGTCCACAGATTGCTGCCGGTCATTGCAGCTTTTTATTCCTGGCTCATTAGGGAATTTATATGAGAATGGAAACCATGCCACTGAGAGTGCTTTTTTTTTCAATATATGTAAGGTGATTGCTATTCTGGTATAGTGAAAAGGAAATTTGATTCCCAAAGCACAAGCCTTCCCTCAGTCTTTTTTAAGCTAGTCATGTATCACTCAAGTTTAAAATGAAAACAGAAACAAAATCCAAACAGAGAAGAGGTTATGCTAGAGGCAGAGAATCCTCACAGCAGTAAAAGTTAACCATTGATCTCTTGATAAAGCTAGAAATCAGTATAGTTTCTTTACCAGGCCACAGGAATTCAATGAGTTACATAACACAGCAGAAAACTGATGTTTACTGATTAGCTATACTGCTAAAAATTTGGTTAAATCTGGCTTGTATTTAAACACTTTGATGTTCAATATTTATTAACCTCTAATATGAAATCCTCGCTGAAGACTTGCTGAAGATGCTAGCGAAATCTGAAATGAGATTTTATCTAATCAGTATCTCATTACCTCCTCCTCTTCATCATCTTCTTTCTCTTTTTCTTTCTCCTTCTCCTTCTCGGGCAGAAGTTCTAACTCAGGGATTAGCTGACAGATATTTGGAGGTTCTTCAGGGGGAAGCTCCACAGGTGGTATTTCCATCTGCTCCACCTGCTGAGGCTTCAATAAGAAAAAAGGGCAATGTTTTTTTAAATATGAAAATACACAGTTTGCTGAAGTTTGGTAGAAGGAAAGAAATACTGGAGTTACAGTGTCCTTCTGCCCCTAGTACATCTCTTTTATTGTAAAGTTATAATATCAAGGTAATTTACAAAGAAATTAATGATTACCCTAAAAGATACAAAAATGAGACATTAAGTACTGAATAGGTCTATGTGAGAATTCTACAAACACAAAAAGAATTTTCTCTAGTAGCATTTTAAAAAATGGCAAAATTAAAAATGGTCTTTAGCCCAGGACTATAAACTGTTACATCATAAAACTGTCTTATTAGACTGTAAGTTACAATCATAAGCTTTGACTCTTAATAAAAGTCATGGAACTCTTTATTATCAGAATAAGACTCTCTGGGGCTGTCTCCTGAATTTCCTTTCTCTGGCTTAGTATATGTGGTTTAGAACATGAAAAATAAAGAAATGACCAGGAAAGTGGTATTTGAGTCACCTACTGCCTACCTGTTCCCATTCCTGAGCTCACACAGAAAAATGTTCCCACTGACAACTCCTTACCACAAGAGGGCATAGAGAACTAGTTCTTAAAATGTGCAAAAACTATTCTACTGTCATCTCTTGGAGGCACCAAAGGTTACCCAAAGCCTCCCTTTGCTCAAATTTATTCAATTGGAAGCCATAAAACAAACCCAACTACTTCCCTGTACTTCTTTAGTTTTCCTTTCCTAGTTGAACTTAATGTCAGCCAAAGTGAAGTAGCCACATAGTGTTACTTTTTTTCAGCTGATTATTAATAAAATTACCTAAAATTGTCTCATATTAGATATGCAGGAATATTCGCTAAGAATAAAGCAGAACCAAATTTGGACTCAAGGACTATACATTAGCTAAAGTTGCTCACTTTGATCACCAAAGACTATTCAAAGACAAATGGCGGACTCCTAGAATATCTCCCACTTACAGCAACTGTGTTTGTATCCTAAGTTGCCTTTATTCTGGACCCATTTTCTGCCTAAACCACCACACTTCAAAAGGCTCCTTAAAGACTACCTGCTACTGACTGCATGGCTTGATGAATGCACTTGCTTACTTACAGGTACCACAGGCTCTGGGTCTACTTGTCCAGCTTTCCGCTTAACTCCCTGAGGTGGGGGTGGGGGCATGGCTGACTCGTCCACGTTTGTTCTGCTTGTCTCCATTGTTTCCTGGAGGCGGCTTGGCTCTTCCATAATGGGTTCATCTGCAACATGAAGAGGAGACTTCAGTTATAAGATTTTGAACACTATGTTGTAATCATTTACTTTTAGAATACACTAACACATAGGTCCTTTCTCTAATGGAGAAAGCCTCAATTTTAGGTTGACAAAGATGACTCAATTTATACAAAACATAAAGGTAGCAGGGGTCTTAAAAGTACAAGTCGAATGTAGCACGATCCTTTAGCAAATTATCACTCAGTCCTGAACCTCAAATCTTTCCAAAGACAGTAAGCTTTCTTATGAGGGGATTAAAAAAAAAAACCTGGCACAAAAAATTTCTGAAATACACACTTCAGTGTCTTGTTAATACACACTACCCATGAACTTAAAAAGACAAATCAATCGGATCCAATGCATGTCCCTGTCCAAAAATTTTAAGTATACTCTTTCATCTTGACTTCTTTTACTTGAGCAATATAAAGGTAAACTTTAAGTCAAATATTTAAATTTCAACATGGAACTATTCAAACAGAACCAACCTATAACATCACGCTGCTGATGTTGCTGCTGCTGGTCCTCTCTAGGAACCTCTGGATTTTCAAATTCTTTGAGGAACTCATCCAAATTATCCGCCTCTCCTCCTTTCCTCCTTTTCCTAAGGTCTTCTGGTACAAGTGGTGTAAGACAACGTGTAAAGAGCTATATAAATAAGACAAATCAAATATAACATTATCTACATTAAATGAAAACACCATTGACATTGAGCTTTCATTAAGAATTGTAATCATTGTACAGCTTACATAATTTAGTAAGATTTTAACTTTACATCTTATCGTCACACTTAATCCCATCTTAAACTGATTTCTAATACAGGTTTTTAAATTCTAAATGCAGCAATTTTAGAAAAGCTGAAAATAAATTTTTTATTCATTATCTCTACTAAGATTTTTAATTTGTAAGCAGTTTATCTTCATATTACAAACTTAGTATTCAACCAAACTTGGCATCAAACTGGTCTTATACTGTGCTTTTTTTCATTTAATATATGGTAGCCTTAAGTACTATTTAACATATTTTTAATGGCTACATAATATTCTACCAAGAATGTGTTTGTGTATATATCACACATGAAATGTGGCTCGACTTTCTTAGAATTTTAGGGTTCTTATTACTCTATCTGTAGATAAAATATCATCAACATATCTACACAAGTGGTTTCCCCCCATTTTGAATTAATTTCTAACAAAAATTTCTAATGAGTCTACTGAATCAAAGAATAAATATCCTAAGAACTTTCACAGGGCCTATTGGGGGTGGCGGTGTGTGGAGATTCACATCAAGTCAAAACAATTTTCTTTCAGGAAAAGTAGAAAACCTCAAAAAGAATACAGATTTGAAGCACGGTATACATTAAGTTAATATATTAGTTCTTCACTCTCCTATAATTAACTATTAAAAATATAGGTGTCACCACCATATTTTAGATGAGGTTATATACTCAGCATACTGTAAGAAAGGTACTACACAGTTGACAAACGCTTGATCAAAAATGATTCAGGAAATAACCTAAGTGTCCATCATGTGTTGAATGGATTAAAACAAAAAGTACATATACTACTCAGGCATGAAAAATGACAAAATCTTGTGATCTGCAATAATATGGAAGAACCAGAAGTCATTTTAAATAAAATAAGCCAAGCACAGAAAGACAAATACTGCGTAAGCTCATGAAAGTTGAGTATAATGGTGGTTACCAGAGAATGCGGAGAACAAGGGCAAAGGAGAGGTGGGGAATATGCACTAAATTATAGTTTGGTAGGATTAAGAAGTTCTCCCTGATCTGTGGTAACTAACAGTACCTAAACGGTTATCTACAGAAATGAAACTGACACTTTGAGATGTGATGACTTTGAATAGCTCTTGTCTCAACTTTTGAGGAAGTTCATTTTTTTTCCATACTATATGTTGAACTCTTTACTTAGTATAGAGTTAATCTTACGTGTATACAGTAAAAAAGTAATGAGTGGGAATGGAAGAGGGAGGGCAGGATGGTAAGAAATCACTGTGTTCCTAAATTTGTATATGAAATGCATGAAGTTTGTATACCTTAAATAAAAGGTTTCTGGGTGGGGGGGGAGGGAGAAAAAGTAAATACAAATAAGGATATGTATCATTCATTTTTCTAAATATGAAAACAACACTAGAAGAAAGGATTTTGAATGTTTATCATAAAAGAATGATAAATATTTGAGGAAACAGGAATTTTTACCCTGACTAGATTACACCACCTGTACGTGTATCAAAACATCACACTGTAGTCCATGAATGTGTATAAATTTTGTGTGTAGTTAGAAGTTTGAGATTTTTTTCTAAGCGCTACAATGTATTTGAAATAAAAATAATTCTGCAAACTCTACTACCTTTAGTAGTCTGTTATTCCACAGAGGCTGAGCAGGTAGAGAAAAAAGTTTTTCTACTCCTCCTGTCTCTTTCCACATCATCAACTTCTTGGTGGGTGGTGCCAAGTCCAGCGTCGTAACAATGTCAGAGTAATCACTAAGTTGGGCTCTAATTGTTTTGCTATCCAACTCTTTGACACTGTCAACAATTAGCTTCCTCTTCCTCTTGGCTTTTGTTTCTTTGACTGGAATAAAACAAAGCATAAAGTCATTTTCTTGGGAGGTCAGCATGGAATACTTAGCTACTAGACCTGGCATGACTACCTCCTCTGCTTTGTAAAATACTTAGTTTATCTGGCATATATTAAGCCTTCCATAAATGGATGCTAATACTGTAACTCTTATTAAAAAAGCTGTAACTCAAGTATGGCACTTATATGGGCCCAAGCCCAGTCAGATGGACCTCAAACTCCACCCTAGACACTTTTTCTATGTTCCTTTCTAGTCCTTGTGGCTTTATAAAGTAGACAAGGCATTATCTCAATTTTTTAAGAAGCAGAAATGATGGTAAGTTTTTATATATACAACATTTGTACTTCTTAAAGATTAAAAAACACAAAAGATGTTATACAGTGACAAATCCTCTCTGGCTACTGAGTTCCCTCTCCTAAAAGCAGAAGCTGAAGTTCTTACAATGGGCAAAGCCTGGCTATCTCATTTTACTTAATGCAACACCTTATCCAGACCTACACTTTACCTTTTTTACAGTTCTCTGTATTATGTCACTTTTCAAAGTCAAATAGTTTACTTAATAACCTGTGCTTCTGTAATTATTTGAGTTCCATAAGGATACAGATTCTTTTAGTTCCTAAAAAGAACCAGGCTTTGACCCGGCATTGTAGCAGAGTGGGTTAAGCTGCCACCACCTGTAATGAAAGCATCCCATATAAGCACCAGTTCAAGTTTAGCTGCTTCAGTACCAATCTAGCTCCCCGTTAATGTGCATGATATTGAAAGCAACAGAAGATGGCCCAACTGCTTGGGCCCCTGCCACCCAGGTGGAAGACCCAGATGAAGGCCCAGTCCAGGCAGCTGCAGTCATTTGGGGAGTTAAACAGTAGATGAAGCTCTTTCTCTCTGTGTATAACCACTATTCAAGTAAAATAAATAAATCTTAGAGGTAGGGGTGGTGGTATGGGGTGTAGGTGGTGGTGGGGAACCAAACCCAGGCTCAAAATAAGCATTTTTTAGAGACCAGAGGCTGAGGTCACAATTTTTGGTGACAGGTTATTCTAAGTAGGAAACCCAAAAAGTTAGTCAGTCTTGTTCTAAAGTAAAAACCATGACTTAAATTATTTTGTAGCTGGTTTCACACGTTCTACTCCCTGTTTCCTTAAATCATCTAGAAATTTTTTTTTTTTTTTTTTTTTAATTTTTGACAGGCAGAGTGGACAGTGAGAGAGAGAGACAGAGAGAGAAAGGTCTTCCTTTGCCGTTGGTTCACCCTCCAATGGCCGCCGCTGCAGCCGGTGCACCGCGCTGATCCGATGGCAGGAGCCAGGATCCAGGTGCTTTTCCTGGTCTCCCATGGGGTGCAGGGCCCAAGCACCTGGGCCATCCTCCACTGCACTCCCTGGCCATAGCAGAGAGCTGGCCTGGAAGAGGGGCAACCGGGACAGAATCCGGCGCCCCAACCGGGACTAGAACCTGGTGTGCCGGTGCCGCAAGGTGGAGGATTAGCCTATTGAGCCACGGCGCCGGCCCAAATCATCTAGAAATTTTAAAATACACATCCTAATTTTCTGTACAGATCTTAAATTGCCTCTTACTAAGAGCAATCACCCAATTAAACTAGTTTTGCAATGCTTTTAAATAAGCACTAAAATAAATAAATTACCAATTTCTATTTTGGTATTTCAAAGGTTTTATATAAAGCATTTTGAGGTTTTCCCAGACTGTAGCACATTATATCGAATCCAGAAATTTGGAAGGTAACAGATCAGCCATTGTTAAACTTTATTTTCAAATGCCCTGCAATGTTTTGCAACTGTTACACACGTGAGCCACTAACATCTTGGAACTCTGAAAGACCAATATACACACTAGCAGAAAGCTTGTTTTGTACCTTTATATTTCACAGCAAATTGTATATTCTACAAAATACTCAAATTGTAAACTCTGAGATGACAAAGCAGCTTAGTTACCTCCAATATCAGCAATCTTGTGGATAGGCAAGAGCCAGGACTAGGACCTTATGTTTTATGGCTTATAAATAAAGGTTTGTTTGCTCACCAGTGATATCAATAGGTTCCAGAGCAAATGCTTCTTCTTCATTTGGAACAAGTGTTGTTTGATCAGTCATAGTTGGCATTGGTTCAACGGGATCCACTGAATCAGGACTGTCAGGCCCACCCACTATTAAAAAAAACAATGGTCACAAAAGTTTGGGTATACAACATATATTCTACAAATGGGAGAAAAAGTTTCTCCATGAAACTGAAAGAAACCCCATGGGTATTAAAAATAAAATAAAAAAAAAAATTCTACTTCTGAGAAAGTTCCTCCATAGTCAAACTCAAATGACAAAAAAGGGATAAGGACACAGGGTTAAACACAGAAGAAGGTGACACCTAATCAGTCATGGGCACTGTAGTCAAGGTAGGACTTGCAGTTTGAGACTTCAATGGTAAGTATCTTTTTGGATGCCATATAACCATCCCCAGAATGCTAATATGAAATGCTTACTTGATACATTATCATCCTCATCCATATCATCATGTGCAGGCTGTTCCGGCAACATCACTCCTGTCTCAGAGAGGGCAGGAGGATCGTCAAAGATACCACCATCATTATTACTAATGAGCTTGTCATCTGAAATAGGGAATGTAATATTTAGGTATAATTTGAAAATGCAAAAAATTTTTAAAAAGCAGCCAATTACTTAAACAATAATTTAAATCTGTATTCAATTTACATGTTTCTCTTCAACACAGTGTAGATAAGAACCATCTACAAAAAAATTTTTCATTTATTTGTATATTTTAGCTCATATAAAATATTTCAGATACCGGACATAGCACCTTCAAAACAATTAGGTATTGCACCAACATTTTTAGCTAGTTTTACAGAAAACTTTCATTGAACCAAATGATCACAAATCATACAAATGTACATAAATTCAAGACCCAGAATTAGCAACTTCTCCAAAACATCACCACTCAATAAAGAAATGTTGTAATTACCACTTTGTCATGACCTACCCAATATTCCACCATCATTTCCTTCTCCAAAATTATCATCCTTATATTGGTCTTCATATTCTAAATGGTTAATTTTCTCATTCAAATTGCTGGTGCTCTGTTCAGGTTCTAATAGGAGGTTGGAAGCATTATTGCTTCCCAACATGTCGTCATCCTCAAAAGCACTGCCTTCTCTCATTATCTCACGATCATCCACTCCAAAGTCACCTAAACAAATTTTAGTAAGCCATGAAAAAGGTTAAAAATATCACTGTTACAAAAGACATTGGCAAATAATGTATTACAATTATGATGCTACATTTGCTTCCTAAAGTCTTACTTATCTTCAAATATTGAAACATCTAGTACCTAAATCTTATGAACTAATTCTTAAATTATACATGGCTATTAACTCTGGGGCATGACTAGCAAATTCAGACTTCACTCCAAATTGAGGTTATCCTATGTTAGATAAACCTAAATATTTGTTATATTAATAGCCAGACTTAAAACTTCTTAGGTATTTTCATCAAGAGAAGAATCTGACTTACTACCAGTTTTAAATAACTGCAGTTTCTGAGTAGCAGATTAGTTTAAAAGTGAGCATTACTGGGGCCAGTGTGGTGGCATACTAGGTTAAGCCACTAGGTGCAATACTGGCATCCCATGTGAGTGCTGGTTCATGTCTTGGCTGCTCCATATCTGATCCAGCTCCCTGCTAATGTTCCTGGGAAAGCAGTACAGGACGATTAAAGTGATTGGGCCACCCATGTGGGAAACCAGGATGAAGTTCCTGGCTTCCACCCTGCCCAACCCTGGACTCTGGCCATTTGGGGAGTGAACCAGCAGATGAAGATCTCCCTCTAATTAAATTTCAAGTAAATAAATAAACCTTTAAAAAATTGAGCACTGTTTTTACTAGTGAGACTTCTCACACAAATACAGTTGTATTACCCTATGCAGAGCAGGAGCAAAGAATGAGTTGTTAAGTTTGGTGCACAAATGGAAACAATGCTTAATACACTGATAGCAAGGCAAACTGTTTTCTTGATGAAAATTAACTAGACTTACAAGTCCATTAATATGAATACAACATATGTCTGGTTTTCTTTTTAAAATGCTAGCAGTGTCAAAAAATAACTACAGTATTATGACTAGAATTTGTTTCTTTTACCAAAGTCATTTTCTTGAAGGATACTGATGTTTCCAACTTCTTCCCTCATGGTTATCTCTTCCACTCTACTCTGGTTCAGGCTGAATTGTTGGGCCACATCGATGTCACTTTAAAAGAAGTTCAAATACACTTTAGTTTGAAATTTCACTAGCACATTCTGAAAATATATTAATTCTCTCTTTAAGGAAATGACATAATACAACTCACAAATTATTAATTTCATACACAAATTCCAAAACAATGCAAGAATGTGAATAATGTCAAAGTTGATTTGTATTTACATTTTGAAAACCACCAGTGATCAACAAGCAAAATATAGTAGGCTTGGGGCCTGCACTGTGGTATAGTGGTTAAAGTCACTGCCTACAGTGCCGGCATCCCATGTGGGCGCCAGTTCAAGTCCCAGCTGCTCCACTTCTGATCCAGCTCTCTGCTAGCACCTGGGAAAGCAGTGGAAGATGGCCCTAAGTCCTTGGGCCCCTGCACCCATGTGGAGAACCGGAAGAAGTTCCTGGCTCCTGGCTTCGGATCAGCACAGCTCCAGCCGTTGCGGCCAACTAAGGAGCAAACCAGCGGATGGAAGACCTCTCTCTCTCTCTCTGCCTCTCCTCTGTGAAACTCTTTCAAATACATAAATATTTTAAACAAATTTATAATAGGCCAAAAATTACCAGGCAAAAAGATATATTACAAAGAAAAAAATATGAAATGATGGGCTAGGGAAGCACAGGTTTTCATCAGGTTGCTGCAACTGACAGGCTATGTGAACTCTGAAGTTCCTTGGCTTTTCTAAGACTCAGTTTCTCCAACAAGAATAACCTCATATAGTTTTAAAATATGAAGTAACAACATGAAATGTTGAATGCCAATCTGGAATACTATTTGCCAAATCCTGAAGGTAAATAATTCAAAACAAATTACTAACTTTGTTCAGTAAATAAACTGCAAGGAAAACACACAAGGACTACCATAGTCTGAGGAGACTTATGAGAGACAGCAATCAAATGCAATCTGCAGACTCCTGTAGCCCCAACTCAAAAGCGGTTAGGGAGAAGCCTATGTGACAAATGGGGGCAATAAAACATGGATAGGAAATTACAGTAAGGAATTACTAGTAAATTTTAAATGATGTACTGTATTATGCTTTAAAAAAATTCCTCAATTCTAGAGACAAATATTGATGCATCATAGATGAAATAAAACCATTTGTAGGCCGGCGCCGTGGCAACAGGCTAATCCTCCACCTTGTGGCACCGGCACACCGGGTTCTAGTCCCGGTCGGGGCGCCGGATTCTGTCCCGGTTGCCCCTCTTCCAGGCCAGCTCTCTGCTGCGGCCTGGGAAGGCAGTGGAGGGTAGCCCAAGTGCTTGGGCCCTGCACCCCATGGAAGACCAGGAGAAGCACCTGGCTCCTGCCTTTGGATCAGCACAGTGCGCCGGCCGCAGCGCCAGCCGCAGCACGCCAGCCATGGCGGCCATTGGAGGGTGAACCAATGGCAAAAGGAAGACCTTTCTGTCTCTCTCACTACCCACTCTGCCTCTCAAAAAAAAAAAAAAAAAAAAAGACCATTTGTTATTTAATCTAAAAATAATCCAGTAGAGTTCAGAGGTAAATTGGAGATCTATAAATGAAATAAAATGGTTAACGGCCAGTGCTGTGGTACGGTGGGTTAAAGCCCCAGCCTGTAGCCAGCATCCCATATGGGCGCTGGTTTGAGTCCTGGCTGCTTCACTTCTGATCCAGCTCTCTGCTTATGGCCTGGGAAAACAGTGGAAGATGGCCCAAGTCCTTGGGGCCCTGCACCCATCTGGGAGACCCAGAAGAAGCTCCTGGCTTCTGAGTGGCTTAGCTCCAGCTGTTGCGGCCATCTGGGGAACAAACTGGTGGACGGAAGACCTCTCTCTACCTCTGTAACTCTTTCAAATAAATAAAATAAAATCTTTAAAAAAAAAAAACCCCAGATTGGCTAAATAATAAATAAGGTAAATAACTGGGGGCTGACACTGTGCTGCAGCGGGTAAAGCCACTGCCTGCAGTGCTGGCATCCCATGTGGGTGCTAGTTTGAGTCCCAGCACTCCACTTCTGATCCAGTTCTCTGCTATGGCATGAAGGAGTAGAAGATGGCCCAAGTCTGTGGGCCCCTGCACCTGCGTGGGAGACCCAGAAGCTCCTGGCTTTGGATTAGCGCAGCTCTGGCTGTTGTGGCCAGTTGAGTCAAACAGTTGATGGAAGACATCTCTCTCTCTCCCTCCCTCCCTCCCTCTCTCTCTCTCTCTCTCCCTCTCCCTCTGTGTATCTCTTTCAAATAAAAAAAAGTTAAATAGTTATATGCAGTTTATAATACTAATCTCTTTACTATTCAATGTGTTTAACAATTTCTATGATTAGGGCTGGTGTGGTATAGTGGGTTAAACTGCCAACTACAACACCAGCATCCCACACAGGTACTGGTTACACTCTTGACTGCTCCACTTCTGATCCAGCTCCCTGTTAATGACCAGGGAAAAGCAGTGAAGATGGCTCAAGTACTCGGGCACCGGCACCCACTGAGAGACCAGGATGAAGTTCCTGACTTAGGCCTGGCCCAGCCCTGGACATAGCAGCAATTTGAGTGAACCAGTGGATGGAAGATTTGTTTCTAACCCCTTCTCTAACTCTGCCTATCAAAATACATATATACATCTTAAACAATTTTTCTAAGGTGTAGCAGGTTAATCTTCCACCCGTGGCACCGGCATCCCTTATGGGCGCCGGTTCTAGTCCTGGCTGCTCCTCTTTCCATCCAGCTCTCTGCTATGGCCTGGGAAAGCTGTAGAAGATGGCCCAAGTGCTGGGGCTCCTGCACCCGCGTGGGAGACCCAGAGGAAGCTCCTGGCTTCGGATCAGCACAGCTCCAGCCATTGTGGCCATTTGGGGAGTGAACCAGCGGTTGGAAGACCTTTTTCTCTGTCTCTCCCTCTCACTATATGTAACTCTACCTCTCAAATAAATAAATAAATCTTAAAAAAAAATCTTTTTAAACAAAATGAAGGAAGTATAAGGAGGGAGCAGACATTTGGTTGGCAGTTAAGCCACTGCAGTCTCACATCAGAGTGCCTACGTTTGATTCTCAGTTCTGGTTCTTAATTGAATTCCTACCAGTGTAGACCCTGGGAGCCAAAATTACTCATGTAATTGCCTCCCTACCAACCATGTGGGAGACCTGGTTATACTCCTGGCTTTTGGCTCAGCCTAGCTCTGACTATTGTGGGCATTTGAAGAGTGAACACCAGGGGCTGGTGCTGTGGCGCAGCAGGTTAAAGCCCTGGCCTGAAGCGCCGGCATCCCATATGGGCGCCGGTTCTAGTCCCGGCTCTCCTCTTCCCATCCAGCTCTCTGCTATGGGCTGGGAAACCAGTAGAAGATGGCCCAAGTCCTTGGGCCCCTGCACCTGCATGGAGACTGGGAAGAGGCACCTGGCCCCTGGCTTCGGATCAGCGCAGCTCCAGCCATTGCGGCCATCTGGAGAGTGAACCATCAGATGGAAGACCTCTCTCTGTCTCTACCTCTCTAACTCTTTCAAATAAATAAAATAATAATAAAGTAAAAGAGTGAGCACCAGCAGATGTGAGTTTGGTCCTGCTTGTTCTCTCTAGCAATTAAACAATCAAACAAAAAAATCAAACAAAAAACTAGCCCAATAGTGTCTAGCACTAATTACCATACACACATATGGGGCCGGTTTTGTGGCATAGCAGGTTAAGCTGCTGCTTGTCATGTTGGCATCCCATATAGCAGTTATGGTTTGAATTCTGGCTGCTCCATTTCTAATCCAGCTGCTTGCTAACATGCCTGTAAACAAGGAAGATGGGCCAAATACTTGGGTTCAAGAAACCCATGTGGGAGTCCAGGATGGAGTTCCTGGCTTCTGGCTTTGGGTTGGCATAGCCCTGGCCACTGTTGCTTTTCAAATAAATGAAAATAAATCTTTGGGCAAAAAACCATACAATATCAAAATAGGTCACAAATTTACACTAAACAGGTGCCACAGATCATCCCAAAAGGCAGAGAAATTTGTATTAAGGTAAATGGGGTGTGGTGTAGAAAGTTTTTTGGTTGTCAAATAGGCTACTCCATCTCTTGAAAAGTTTTAGTCACAGTCCCAATTGTGGGTGATTCTGGAGCCCAACGTGGGACCTGAACGCATAAGGTGAACAAGGGTGTGTGTGGGGGGTGGCAACCCCCTCTGCTAGGTGAAGAGTACCTTTGTCTCACTGTAGGGACTCCCACTGTGCACTGGGCCCAATCCCTCTCTGCAAGTGAAGAGGGTATCTCTGTCTCATTTCTAGGGACCTCTGACATGGTTGTGGGTTCCCCATGTAGACATGGTGAAAAACGGCTCTCCACATTTTCTAACTTTGCTTATCTTTCTGCATTCCACTCTGTCCCTTATGTAAGTAACCAGCCAGGCCGCGGGCTGGAGAAAAAGAACCCTGGGTTTGGGTGTGCTCACCCTGCAGAGTGTGCACATGTGGACCTGCACTGGCTTCCTGCCAACACGCAAAACCCTGTAGAGGAGGGGCTTTCGTGCACGGTGGTGGCAGCGGACACTCCAGTGGCTTCAACCTGGACTACAATCAATGCCATGGCATCCTGTGCTTCGCACTCCGCACCCTAGCCTGGGACCTGCACTTTTGCCATGGGCCACTGAGCAGGAGGGGGCAGTGTCCACTCTAGCATGTCCAGCCCTGGCTCTGCCAGCACCCACATGGACCTGCTGCTGCGAAATCTGGACAGAGATGAGAAAGATTTTCACAGAGGGCTAGCTTCTAAGTATTCTAAATTCATTGTAATGTGTTTTAAAGACAATTTATGTGTTTTCTGAGATTAAAGCTCTAAAAGAAGATTGAGAATTTTGGCTACATTCCTGGGCCTTGCATTTTCAAATCAAGTATGCTTTCAATTGTTAATTCTGGGACTGGAGTACTGATTTGGTTGCCTGGAAACATGTTAGCATCAGGGAGGTGGAGTGTCAAACATGGCGGATGCTCCATTTTCCACCATGAGGATGGGCAACAGAATCAGCCTCAAGATGGCAGCCCCCATGGTCTGCAGGTTCAGCACACCTGATTTATTAATTATTAATTATAATCAGTGATATATAAATATATACATATTATATGTATTACAGAACAAAAATCGCTTAGTCAAATGTTAAAGGAATTATAACTAATGTAATGTATCCATGTCAAATGCTTAAGGATAATCATGCTTGCAAAGAGCTGCTTCTGTTTTCATCTTCTCAGGTCCTACAAAGAAACTGTAAAGTTGTATAGCTCGGCATGTAGGATACAGACTCACTTCTAAGGGTACAGTTTAAAACCTTGCCAGGGGATCCCAAATCCCCTTGGGCTAGATGGTAAAAATTAACATCTGAAGTTTTAAAGTGATCATATTAAGTAGGATTAATCATATGGATAGGATTAAGTTTTAAAGTGGTCATATAGACAGGATTAAGATTTAAAATGTTCATATAGATGGGACTGTTAACGTGATCATATTAATAGAATTAAATGTTTACTGCTAATAATAAACAGAATTAAAGAGGAGTAAATGCTCCAACACGGGAAGCAGTCCATAGAGCAGACTCATAGAATGGCAACTGCTCTAAGCAGCACTCAGTAACCTCAGAGTCAGCCCTTAAAGGCATCCTGGTCTGGCTAAAAAGGCCCACAAGAGCATTTCAGGCGTGAAATGCCAGGACACTTGTGTAAAAAGTGTCCCTACATGGAGAACCTCTGGGTGAAACTCCAGTGGAAAGAATTAGTCATGTACTTTTCTCTGAAGAGAGGAGAGAACATCCACTTTGCTTATGGCTTTGTCTGATTCAAAAGGTTTTCACAGCCTAGGCAGCTCATGTCAAGAGTCTTGGGTGATCACTGACGCCATGCATAAATGTTAATTGTTAATTAACAACAGGAGTCACTGTGTACTACCTTTCCATACAGGACCTCTGTCCTCAAAGAGTTACAGTATTAACATTAACGGTAAAACTGGTTACCAAAGATTTACCTTTAGTGTGAAGTATTCTTATGTGTCATAAGCTCTAGTTATGTTTAAGTGTTAAATTCCATTGCCTGCATTCTTAGGCATTTTTTTTAAAGTTTATTAAGTGCCTCAAATGTGAACTCTTGGACCCAAGTCTCTCTGTGAGATTCCTAACTTGTATGTTTTAACATAAGGTCAAATACAGAGTACAGATTGGTTAAAGGCCTCAGGACTACTAATCAGACAATTATTTCACTGCCCCTTATGTGCTAAACCTTTGCCTAAGGGACAAGTTCTTCTGTATCACACTAAACCCAGAATCTGGGAAAACAAGGATACAGAATTTCCCCAAACAAAACTCAGGTTCCTAAACTAGAGGTAGATTTCCTAGGATATGTTCTAACTCCAGAAAAGTGTGCTCTTTCAATCAAAAGAAGGGAAGCTATTTTTTATATTTATGGTCTTCATTGACTAAAAAGGCATCTAAAGATATTTCTGGAAACAGCAGGATTCAGTGGGGTATGGATTCCAAGCTTTAGTATACAGCTTTAAAAAGCACTGATGAAGACAATGCTGGAAAGGGTAGCTACAGTTGTTCCAAATTAAGGGGCTTCTAACAGAAACTCCAACATTGGGAATTACTGATGGCAGGATTCTTTGGAATATGGATTCTAAGCCTTTGTATTTGTTTTAAAAGGCCCTGACACAGACACACTGTGCTGGACAGGGGAGCTACAGAACGTGTTCCAAGGAATTAAGGAGCTTTTAACAAAAGCTCCAACATTAGGGAATTCCTGAGTAAGCCATTCATATAAAGATCCTCTTCAGATCAGTTGCAGCTTAAATGAAAGGGACTTTACCAGATGCTACAGACAAGTGAAATTAGGATTAAACATCTACCTCTTAAGTCTTCACAGGTGAACTAAAAAGACATGTCTGGTTGTTCCTGTTAGCCAATCAGAGATCTTAAGCAAAAGGTAAGTAAAGCCTTTGCTTTCCTCACATCAAGACTTGTGCTTGCCTCCTCTTTTGATTCTCTCTGGGAACTTTTACTGACAATGAAACTCCTAATGTGTTCTTCTATTATAATGCTCTATGCTTAAGCTAAATGGGTTTATAATCTATCACCACCCACTATCTGGGAGTCTGTAAGATATGTTCTTTTCATCTTAAAGGGGCACTCCAGTTGCAATTGATCTGGTTCCAGTTTTGCTTGTGCCAATAAACTAACTTACATGGTTCAGAACTTCTGGGAATAACTGACCATAGAGGGTACACACACATTGGCGATGACCGAGACTGCTCCAGCTCACAAAGCAAATTCATTTGATGAGCAAGAGAATTCTAGACCCAAGAGAGGCAGGGCCTGTACTATGCCCCTCATAAGCAGGAAGCAGCTACAGAAGATGTGATGATTCTATGCCCTTCAACATCTTTTAGGATTAAGGGAATGGAGTCTCTGAAGGGGGAATTATGTAGGCAAGTATATAGGATTAGGTTTGTGAGCTGAAAGACCATACCTTCACCATGCCCCCTGTGTGATCCCATGCCCCTCCCTGACCACACTTGTGCACCCACCTGCCAATCAGAACACAGTGGGCTCAGCCCCTTTTCCCTTCTTTTTCCTCCCTGTCTTTAACCCTCACACTAGGCACTCTTCAAGTTAACCCAAAGCTTACTGTGGGTTTTGGCTTGTTGCGTGCCACACTAAGCAGGGTCATATCCACCCTAAAACACAGCGGGGAGATGTGGGTGATCTTGTACCTGCCTGCCTAGCTCATGCAGGTTAGCCTGACTGCTGGCAGGCTGCAGATGCTCTAGGCACATTCCCCGCCCCCCACTTCTGCCAATCAGGTAAACTCCTCCCAGGTGTAGCCCGGGTCCATCAGGAGAGCTACTAGCCTACGTGACCTTCTAGCTGACTGGAGAAGCACCAATATCAGCTTCACCCTATAGAATTAGTATTGCCCTGAATTAGTTAGTTACACTCCTTCTGCCTGCCCTTTAAAAGGTGTGCTTGGTCGTTAATAAGGCAGACATGTTCACCGCCAACTTGTCTCCAGTGCCTCTTGTTAAAGAACGTTAAGTCCCACCACCACGACAGTGTGTGGGCCCTCGCCTGCACCCAATCATGGTATGATAGCTGGGACTTTAAGGACATGAGAAGAGGGAAATATATTACAGTAGTCTGCTATAATAGTCATTTCTATGCTCTGTCCTCTTAAATATGTGTTGTGACAATGACCCTTTTCTGTACTTCATAGTTATTTTATCTTTATTAAACAAAAAATGCACAAAATTCTGGCTCTGAGTATACCTAGACCAGGAAGAGAACCAGTAGTTGACTTTTATACCTCTTAAAAATATCATCAAATGTTAGTCTACTGATGTCATCACGTAAAGCACACACATGGAAAACTACACGCTTTGGTCCTAAGAACATCAGAATTCTCATATCTTAGATGTGTTAAAAAGTTGACATTCATGTGATTTTCTTCTAGAAGAAACACTTTCTAGGTTTTATATACATATATGTGTACACACACACATGCACACAATTATCCTAAATGAAAGCATGTACATTTCAGTTACATATTAACTCAATTTCAAAACATTCAAATGAAAACTATAGATTTGGAAACCAGTAGTATGTTTTTGGTCTAATAAGTAAATAACTAAAAAGGAAAAAGACAAACATACTCTAAGTCAGGCAGTGGCTGATCAAAATCATGAAATTCTTCTGGTAAAGTAATGGCATTGTAAGCTGCTTCACGGTTTTCTTCAGGAAGGTCAACAACACCTGGAAAAGAAAAAAAGCTTGAAGGACTGACTACACCACAGATTATCTAGGGACCAGAGGGAGACAGAGTGGTTACAATTTCCTATGATTATAAGAAGAATGGTAACAGATACAAAGTACCTTGAAGCACAGTACTTCTGTTTTTCCATCATAAACCATTATACTTGTTTTATTAAAACAAATTAAAGCAGTAATTTATACACTAAGTTGATGAATCTTTAAAAAGACACATTAACAAGTACTAATGACAGTTTTCTACTTAAGCATGAAATTTGACGGAAAATGACTATAAAGGAATACTGTAAATGTTAAAAGAAATTGGTTATTTTAGGGAGAGTGGGATAACACAATTTTACTGTTTTTTATATTTTACTCTACATTATCAGCTATCTGTAAAATGTATTACTTTAAAAAAGATAAAAAAGTGCTATGGTGTAGTGGGTGAAGCCACTGCCTGCAGTGCCGACATCCCATGTGGGCACTGGTTTGAGTCTCGGCTGCTCTACTTTTAATCCGGCTCTCTGCTGTGGTCTGGGAAAGCAGAAGATGGCCCAAGTTCTTGGGCTCCTGCACCTGCAAGGGAGACCCAGAGGAAGCTCCTGGCTTCAGAATGGCGCGGCTCTGGCCTTTGTGGCCAACTAGGGAATGAACCAGCAGATGGAGGACTTTCTCTCTCTCTTCTCTCTCTGTGTAGCTCTTTTAAATAAATGAATAAATCCTTAAAAAAAAAAAAGAAAAATAGGGGCTGGTGTGGTGGTGCAGTGGCATCCCATATGGGCACAGCTTCACAACCCAGTTTCTCCACTTCCAATCCAGCTCCCTGCTAATGGGCCTGAGAAAGCAGCAGGTGATATAGCCCAAGTGCTTGGTGGGTCCTTGCACCTGTGTGGGAGACCTAGAACAAGTACCTGAATCCTGGCTTCAGCCTGGCCTAGTTCTGGCTGTTGTAGTCACTTGGGGAGTTAACCAGCAGAGGGAAGACCTCTGTTTCCCTCTCTCCGACTCTGCTTTTCAAAAAAATAAAATATTAAAAAAGAAAAAATTGGCAAAAGTAAACAAAGAGCATGTTATTTTAAACAAAATGCACTTAGTGATCATGTATGGTAAAAATCATTCAAGATATCACAGCTTTTTCCTAAAATATTTTCCTTTTAGATAAAATGTTAGATCTCAAATTCATTAGAATCAAATTCAACGATACCTGGCCGAAAAGCCATCTTTATCTTAATGAATGCTTCATTACAGTCTGCAAGAAGATATTTGGCTTTCCTGTGATAGATTCGAACTACTCCCAGTAAAAGATGTCCCGATGTTCGCAATGCCATCTTCACCTACAAAGAAAATATTCATATTATGTACTTTCCAGTTAATTGTACAGTTTTAAAGGTAATCATTAGAGGGAATTTTTACTTTCCTTGTATACCCTTTATTTTTAAAATTTGCCTTCTAATCAACTATACTTTCTTATTGTCTATCTGAATTCCCCAAGTATCCTGAAAAGATAGATTGCACAGTAATTCATGAATTAACATAGACATGGGGGCTGGCACTGTGGCCTGGCCTGAAGTGCTGGCATCCCATATGGGCGCCAGTTCAAGACCCGACTGCTCCACTTCCAATCCAGTTCTCTGCTATGGCCTGGGAAAGCAGTGGAAGATGGCCCAAGTCCTTGGGCCCCTGCACTTGTGAGGGAGACCCAGAAGAGGCTCCTGGCTCCGGATCAGCATTGCTCCGGCTGTTGTAGCCAACTGGGGAGTGAACCATTGGATGGAAGACCTTGCTCTTTCTCTCTCTGCCTCTCCTCTGTGTAACTCTTTCGAATAAATAAATAAATCTTTAAAAAAAAAATAACATAGACATGAAGGTAGTTACCAAACTACTCTGTTCACAGATATGAAGCAGAAACTCAACTATTCCATCCAATAAGTCCTCTGTACCCTAAGGAGCCTGTGATACTGTGGGTTACCAATCCACAGCCACTGCTCATTGCTGGCAAACTGAAGGCTGATTGTTTCAGAAGCAAATGTCTCCAGGCTTGAAGGATTACCTCATTCTTCTCTGCTAATATTTGTTATTGAGTAGGCATGTATCACAGTTCAGCCAAGAAGTATAAAGTATGACAGATTTTCTGAGATTTTCCCAACAAGAATGTATCTCTTTCTTCTTTCCCTCTCTTCTGCATTTTAACTAGGTAGGGCTTAGAGCTGCTTGCAGTCAACAACCAGAATTTGTTCAGCCCAAACTACTGAACCAATCCTAGATCTTTCTCATTCCAAATTTCTAGTTAAGTAAAAAGCCACTCATTGTTTAAACCACTTTTCATTGAGTATTTTTACTTGATTGAGGGAAACAGAAAGAAAAACAGTACTCATCTTTTTTCACTAGAAAATACACCCCTCCATACTGCCCACCCCCCTCCAGCCTATTTTCTTTCAAGGCAGATCTTGATCAATGCTAATGTGAAATCCAGTGTGGGGTGAGAATCAGCTGGGAAAAGAATGACAAGTAAACATACAATCTAAAGTATTCAACATTCCTGTGGCTATAGTCAGGAAAATTTACTTTGAGAACAAGATAATCTGAATGCAAACTCTGCCAGATCATCTCCCAAATCATAATGCATAAAGTTGGGAAACATTTGCCCAAAATTTAAATTATGATTAACATGTTACTTATAAAATAAAGTGTATTTTTGTATTATACATAAATGCTCCACAATATTCTAAGACTTATGACTCTGACTCTGTATTTATGGCCATTTCATATAGTTTACAGCAAGTATGAAGTTTACTGCTAAAATTTTTAGGTATCCCAAATTATAACAAATTTGTGATAAAATCTAAGACTTGCCAGATGATAAATCCGTGATACAAAATTAACTTCCAATTAAAATTGCTAACAGAAAAACACAATCTCCTTTTATGTGGTTTTAGTAAATTTAAAATTTATACTTTCATCTAAGTTAGAGAAAAAAATCTCTTTCATCATTTCCTTGTCTATATTATTTGAATTATATAATTCAAAAAGGTGTTTGCAAAAGCTTTTTTTCTGGATTAGTTTCATTCAGAGTTTAGCCTATGAAAATGTAAAAGGAAATATGACACTTTTACAGTCAGTGCAATGAAGACCACAAGCTATATATATTCAGTGACAGTTCTGCAAAGGATGATGGTGACTCTTTCAATGGGTGAAAAAGAGAACAAGCACACTAACTTGCAGTTGCAATGGAACCACATACCTGACACATGTTCTAAACAATGAAACCAACACTTCCCCACAAAAAACACACAATAAAGCAAACAAATTTTCAGGTCAGTTGATTCTGTAGGAATATCTTAAAAATAAAAACCAACTTAGAAATTATTTTTTAAAATTAAATTATTCATTCGCTCTTACAAAACACACTGCAAGCTTTTACATTATTCCTATACTGTATGCTGTGCTTTATGGCTGTTAATGTGTACCTTCAGATGTCAGACTATCTCATACCTAATGCAGATGCAAAGTACTCTGCACATACTACAAAAAATCTATTATCCTTTTAATTCGAAACTCTCTTGATACTAGTTTATAGATAATAAACGATTAGCCACAAATATCAATTTCAAGTACAGAGTACAATCATTTACTTATCTCAGTAAGCATAAACTCTAAGAAAATAGAAAACAACACATTCTCATATAATTTGACTAGCAGTGCAAACTCATGTTATGTCACTAGAGAGTACACTGTTAGTGCACATCAAAAATCTTAAAAGATCAGTTTATCACTGGGCCCATCTATTATATTCCTAAAAATCTTTAAGGAAAGACTGAGAATGTGATGCGAAATGTAATAAGAAATTCTACTAAATGGGTAAACAAAACCTCTATAATCCTACCACTTACTGAAAATGTTAATACTTTGTTAGGCCTTCTAGGCTTTTCTGTAAGTATGTACAGAATATATTTTATTTGTGCCAAGTGTGCACATGCACGTGCACAAGCTGTTTTGTGTGTAAAAACAGCATTAAAGTACACTGTTACATGACTGGATTCAGGTCAGCTCTGTTCACATCTCTGTCAGTTTTCTTTTCAAAAATGACTTTTTAAAAACAGTTTAGGTTTAGAGCAGAACTGGGAATGAAGTACAGTGATTTCCCATGTACCCCTGTGCCTCTACATACAGTTTCCTGTATTATCAACATCAGCATCAAAGTTATAACTTATAAATTTGACCAGCACATCATCACCACCATGAGTTCACAGTTTGTTAAGATTCATTCTTGATATAGTACATTCTTTAAGTTTAGATAAATGTATAATGAGATGTTTCATCAGTATAGTGTCAGGCAGAATAGTTTAACTGTTCTTAAAAAAATCCTCGGGGCTAGTGTTGAGATGTAGCAGGTAAAGCTGACGCCAGCATTCCATATGAGTGCCAGTTCCAGTCCCGGCTACTCCACTTCTGATCCAACTCCTTGTCACAGCATCGGAAAGGCAGCGGAGGATGGCTCAACTGCCTGATCCCTTGCTACCCACGTGGGAGATTCAGATGGAGCTCTTGGCTTCCAACTGGCCCAGGACTGGCCATTGTGGCCATCTGGAGAGTGAACCAGCAGATGGAAGAGCTCGGTCTCTCCCTCTCTATAGCTCTTTCAAATAAATAAATCTTCAAAACAAAACAACAACAACAAAAAACCTTTGGGTTTTACCTATTCGTCTCTCCTTTTCTTCTCTAATCCCCTCCATCTTTTCATGTTTCCAGAGTTTTGCCTTTTCCAGAGTATCTTACAGCTGGGATCATAAAGTAGCCTTTTTAAATTGAATTACCTGAATGCATTTGAAGTCCCTTCATATCTTTTCATGGCTTCGTATCCCATTTCTTTTTAGCACTGAATAATATATCACAGTCTAGATGTACCACCTAGTGAAGGATACGCAAGCTGCTTCCAAGTTCTGGCAATTATGAATAAAGCTGCCATAAACATCAGTGTGCATGTTTTTATACAAAACTAAGTTTCAGCTACACTGAATAAATACCATGGAGTAAGACTCCTGGGCCGCACAGCAACAGTAGTTTGTCTTCTACAGTTGTTGAATCATTTTGTATTACCACTGCAATGAATGAACATATCTTGTTTTGCCAGATTTTCATCAGCATTTGGGGTGGTGTATGTTTTGGATTTTGGCCATTCTAATAGGTAGGTAGTAGTATCTTGATTTAATCTGCATTTTCCAGACAATGGTGTGGTGATGTTAATATTGGCCTGTTTTTAAATCAAGTTACTTGTTTTCTTACTACTGAGTTCCAGGAGTTCTTTGTATATTTTGTCTAACAGTCCTTGATCACTTAAGTGTTTTACAACATTGTCTCCCAGCCTGTTATTTGTGTTTTCATTCTCTGGACAATGTCTTGCAGAATAGAGATCTTATTTTAATGAAGTCCAACTTATGAATTCTTCCTTTCATGGAGCATGGCTTTGGAGCTATATGTAAAAAGTCACTCCCAAACCCAAAGTCATCTGGATTTTTCTCCTGGTAGCTTTATATTGCTTATATTGTTTTGTGTTTTACAGTTAGGTCTATAATTCATTTTGATTGATTTTTTTAAGGATGTAAGGTCTAAATCTATATTCAGAGACCCCTAAAAATAATGACAGAGCCACCAACAAAGTGCAGTCCTGCTACAAAACAACTTAACATGGGGCCAGCATTGTGGTATAGCAGATAAAGCTGCCGCCTTGATTGCAGCATCCAATACGGGTGCTAGTTTGAATGCCTGCTGCTCCACTTCTGATCCAGCTCCCTGCTAACGCGCCTGGGAAAGCAGCAGAGGACAGCCCAAGTGCTTGAGCTCCTGCACCCACATGGGAGACCCAGAAGAGGCTTTTGGCTCCAGGCTGGCCCAGCCCTGGCCGTTGCGGCCATTTGGGGAGTGAACCAGTGGATGGAATCTCTCTGTGGCTTTGCCTTTCAAATAAAAATAAATCTTAAAAAAACAATGGAAAGTGGTTTTTGTGTACAGGCATTAAAAACTGTGCAAGGCCCGTGTTGCGGTTTAGTGGGTTAAAGCCACGGCCTGTAGTGCCAGCATACCATATGGGCGCCAGCTTGTCCATTTCTGATTCAACTTCCTGCTAATGTTGCCTGGGAAAGCAGCGGAGGATGGCCCAAATGCTTGGATGCCTGGACCACATGGGAGACCCAGAAGAAGCTCCTGGCTTTGGCCTAGCGTAGCCCTGCTATTATAGCCATCTGGGGAGTGAATCAGCAGATGGAAGGTCTCTGTTTCTCCTCTCTCTCTGTAACTGTCTTTCAAATAAACAAGTCTTTAAAAACAAAAAACTATTTGAATACATAAATTTCCAAAAGCCCAATAATCATACCAAAATATTAAAGTTTTCGCTAAGTACAGAACTATACATCGTTTATTTTCCTTTTTTAGAGTAAGATGTTTGTTTTTCTTTTATTAAAATTTTCAAATTAGAATTGTCTTAGATATGCAGGATAGCAATGACTTCAACACTATGTCAATAAATTGCATCAGCTGTAACTCTAAAACCAGGAAAAAGTCCACAGACAAGTGAAAATTTGCTCTAAGCACAAACTTTTACTTTCCCAACCTAAAACATAAACTTTACCATGGAACTTTTCTGACCAACTCTGTGCTACATCCCCAGTTTTATTCCTTTGAGATTTCCCCCTCTTAAGAATTCCTCTTATTTAACACATTATGCCGATACTTGGCCAAACTGGAAATTCTGAGAGTACTTCCTCATGCTGCCAGTCCATGCATGTGTAATCTGGAACATCTCCACTATGGGATAACTGGTGTTTGCATGTGGTGTATGCAAGGTATAGGAAAGGACCTTTAAAACACAGATGTGCAGATGTGAACATACATGTAAATTTGTATTTCAGAATTTTTCCTTTGAAATTAGTTCTTCATGAATTTTAAGTCAACTTGTCTGTTCTTCAACGAAATCCCAATTTTAATAGTAAATGGTAGCTGCATCTGTGTGTTTTAAGATCCTTTTTGTTAAAGCAAAAACCTCGTATTGCTTTAAACTATACTATCTGAGAAATATCAACATGGAAATTACTGCTTCAGACCACTTTCAGAGAAAGTTATTAAAAGTTCCTCTACATACAGATCAGTATACAAAGCAAGGTAAAAGAAACTCATGAAGCTTCCATCCCAACGGGAGACAGACAGTAATTAAGGGAACAAATATCTATAGGAAGATGCTCCTTGGAAAATGCAAAGCTGGTGCAAAACTTCTAAGCTAGGGAAAAAGCTTGGTATCTTCAAGAAACCACAAGTACGTTTGAAAGGTTACGTAGGTAAATGAGGTAGTATGGGCAGTATTTACTAGGTGGACAGGTTATAGCTGGCCCCTAAACATGAGTACCTTATTTTGCATATTCTGTCAATTCATATATCATATACCTATAAACTAAGTATAAATGCACCCAGAAATAGGAATGTAAAGTATCTGCATATTGCCCCAACCTCATGCTTATTTGCTATTCAAACATAAAAACATCTCTAAGGAATTTTTAAAGAGAATATCAAATTGTGATCACATCAAATCACATCTAGAGGTGATAAACACATAATCTAATACAGAAAACTGTGGGCAATCTATGGATTTTCTTTGCCTCCAATATACAGATTCCTGCCTAAAAAGCTGTTTTTTTAAGTTCCATTTCACACATCAGTAAACAAAGTGAATACGAATACTAATAGCAAACATACCTTTGGTGAGATGATACTCTCCACACTGCTCTCCAAATTACACTCGAATACATGGGCTTTGGTTAGCTTCTTATCCCAATGGGCCGCTAGCCAAATTTTGGCCAGAGGCCCTCTTTTACTGAGGACAAAATGTGCGTAGAACATTGTGCTGGTTGACTATCAAACAGGAAGAAACCTGAGAGAGAGAGAGAAACTTAATATAAGCACCATATGAGAACTGAAATATTTACTTAGACATGAGAAATCTTAAAGATGTGAATGCAAGTGTAATATTCATTTTACCAGAGCTCATTGTTTAAATTTTGAGAGGGTAAAGAAAAAGACCCTTACACATTAAAGGCTGAAGGAAAAAGGAACAAGAGTCAAACTGCTTTCATGTCTTATTGTCAGCTTAAAAGTGTTAGTTCAAGTGTAAAAGCTGTCATTGTAAAACTCTTGGAAGTTCCATCAAGTATTAATTTCATTCCTATCCTGATTACTGACAATGGAAATAGTCTGTGTAAAGGCCGAATCCTCGAGAACATATCTTTCATGGCAAGAAAAAAGAGCTATCAATTAAGGTGGAAATTACCATTTTCAGAATCTCAAATTTAAAAATTGAGATTCTCAGCTACAGCCTTTAAACAATAATTACTTAGTGACAAGCACCACACTAAGCATTTCATATTCCACCAAGCAAAGCCAGGCAGACAGTTTTTAGAAAAACTGAGGCTCAAAAACGTATTACATAGATACATAACTCAAGAATTTGAAAAGCACTTGTCTATTCATAATTTAAATATTAAATCTAGGACAAGTCTTAGAATTACAAATATATTGCTGTTACTGTTCTTTCAGCAAGCTAATGTATTAATTCATAAAAAAGACAGGCTGCCTGAAAACTCCAGTTCAGAAGAGAACATTAAGTAAGCAAAGTGTTATTTCTCTTTTCCAAAAGACTTAAATCGAATTAGCCAAAAGATTTCCTACCTATATTTTCCCACAATGTTTGTGACTAAAGTAAGATATGAAAGTGCGCTTATATAGAAGTCATTATAAATGTAATCATACAATGTGGCATTTTGGGAATTAGCATAATGCTGAGATCCATTTAACTTGCTACATTTACCAACAGTATGTTCCTTTTCATTGCCAAGAACATGGGGTTGTTTCCACACTTTAGCTTTTACAAATAAAGTTGTTAGAAATATTCTTGTGACTTCTGGTGAACTTTTCTTTGGGACAAATGTCCTAAAGTATAATTGCTGGGTAGTGTGACAAGTGTATGCTTAGATTTTTGTTTTGTTTACGAAACACTAACAACCATCAAAATCCTAATGAGACTTATTTACAACAATAGACAGGATTATCCTAAAATTTGTATGTAAGGGCAAAGAAACTAGAAAAGCTAAAACCATTTTGAAAAAGAATAAAAAACTGGGAAGAACTAGTCTACTGATTTTAAGACTTATAAAAACAGCTGCCAATACTCAATATATTACTGGCAACAGATTTCACATATGTCCAAGAAGTATGGGAGGGTAGGGGAATGGTAGGAAAACAACAACACAGGTATGCCTCATATCCATCTTCTACCACTTAATAGCAAAAGGTCCTGAAATTCTCATTTTCTGAACCTGAAGCTCTTTGGAGATCATCAATCACCACATTATAATCTTCTTCTTCCAAACCTGCAGTTAAGAACTAAGGAATACTATACTAGGAAGAACTCCGATTAAAACACTCAGTTGAAAGCATTAAAAAGGAACAGCTCAGAGGTTCCTGATTCACTACACAGCATTTGGTAGATCAAAATACGCTTTCCATAATCAAAGGCAGCCTCCAGTAAGTGCTTATACTTTAAGCCTTAAAAAGTTTGCTAAAGAAAACTTAAGCTGTCCCAACAGTGCTATAAATAAAACCTAGAGAATTTTACAGAAATTCAATATGGCAGTGAGTTCTTAGAAATAGCTACTGTCACACATGACAAACCCCCTTTTTCACTATGGAAGCAAACAATTGTGTTACAAATAAACAGACAGCTCCTAAGAAACTTTGCCAAATGACAATTACTGAGTATGTGCTTTATGAGTAAGTAAATGAGGTACACCAAGTGATCTCATAGTTGACAGATGGAAAAAAGTCCAGAGGTTTTAAAAGTTAAAACTACTGGCACTTCAACAGGTGTCAGAAGCTCATGGCCAGCACTTCAGCTGCTGGTCAGAGCCCCATGCCTAAAATATCCCAGCAATGCAGAGGCAGAGATTCCTAAATAGATGCCTTCTCAGCATGGGAATGGAGGCAGGAGGGAGGGAGGAGATAAGCTAAAATTAATCTGGGAAACAATTAGCAAGAGGAAATCACCCTAATAACTAAAGGAAAGAGTACTGGATCAGCTATTGGCTTATATATGAAAAAGAAGAAAATGCAATCACTGTTGTTCTGTAAGCCAATTTTTTCTTCGGTAATACTAACCTATACCCAATTTTTTAAAAAAGGGTGATTAGTCTCTGTATATTTTGAAGATAAGAAATTCTGATAAATCTTTTCAAAAAGACCTCAGAAGGCTTGCAATTTCATGATTTTTTTCAGTAAGCAACATTTTCTCAACTGATCATAAATAATTTAACTCTGATGTCAAATGATATTTTAGAAATATTCAATAATACAAAAAAGAGTAATTTCAGTTATCCTGAAGAATCCATGCTAAATTGAGGCTGATATTTGTACTGTACAATATTCCCAGTCCTTATCAATTCTTCACCCATCTTTAGCTTATCAGTTGCATAAAATGGCAAGATCTCTTTGAAGGATCATCTGGCAACATCTTATAAAAATTTGATACTTTTCAATAAGAAATTGCAGTTACAGTAATTAATATGAAAGATATACTTGGTTTCATAAAGGAAGACATACAAATAGGCAACAAATAAATGAACAAGTGCTCAGAATCATTAGTCGTCAGGGACATGCAGATCAAACCACAAATGAGATATCATCTCACTATAGTCACTGCTGAGAAAAGGGAACCCTCAAGCCCTGCTGGAAGGAATGCAAATTAGTACAGCCATTATGAAGAACAGTAAGGAGGTGCCTCAGTAAACTAAAAATAGATCTATCATATGCTCCAGCTATCACATTTCTTGGGTATATATCTGAAGGAAATGAAATCAGCCTGTTAACGAGATCATTCACATGCCCATGTTCACTGCAATGCCACTCACGATGGCCAAGATACGGATTCAACCTAGATATCCACCAACTGATAACTAGGATGAAGAAAATGTGGCATACATGCACAACGGAGTATTATTCAGCCATGAAAAAATGAGATCATTTGCAGTGAAATGAATGACACTGGAGATCATTACATTATAAGAAATAAGCCAGACAGAGAAAGAAAAATACTGCAAGTTCTCCATGTGGAAATTAAAACAGTCAAATTCAGAATAGTGATCACTAGAGGCTAGAAAAGGGCAGGGCAGTAGAGGAAAGGTTGGATAATGGGCACTAAAACAGAGAGAAAGTAATAGGTTCTAGAGTTCCACAGTGTGGTGGGGCAGCTATAGTTCACAACAGTGTGCAAAAAACTGGAAGAGAGCAGCTGGTAGGCGCCAAACAAAGGATAGAGATGGAAATGCTAACTGCTAGATTTGATTGTTTTACACTGATATGCATACTGAAATGCTGTTTAGTATCCCCTAAAATGGACAAATATTAGGCAAATTTTTTTTAAATTATATTTGGATATTTAATGCTATAACTAGTACTCAAACAGTATTTTTCTGTGTGGGAGCAAACTGTTGAAATCTTTACTTAATGTATGCTAAACTGATCTTCTGTATATAAAGAGAATAGAAAATGAATCTTGATATGAATGGAAGGGGAGAGGGAGTGGATAAGGGGAGGGTTGCGGGTTGGAGGGACGTTATGGGGGGGAAGCCATTGTAATCCATATTCTGTACTTTGGAAATTTATATTCATTAAATAAAAGTTAAAAAAAAGAATATGATTTAATAAAATGTATTTTTTTCTAAAAAAATTATATTTGGATATGAACAGTATTAACAGAAACAGACCCCACCTTACCAAGTATCAACTATTTTATGAATCCAAACTCCATCATGATTATTCTACATTGCAAATACTAGCCCATTTTAAACACAGTAAAACAAAGCAGAGGTAGGCAACTGTCACCTATATTTAACAGAGGTAGAGGTTGAACTTCAGAGCTCACACTTCCAAGTGTAACACTATGTTATCTTGTTATGGTAACTTAATAACAAAACATTAGAAATAACATAGCTGGCCAATAACACACTTGAAAAATAAATACACCTACACAAAAGAATACAAAGTAGGCCTAAACAATGACATAAAATTTGGTAGTAAAATGGAAAAATCTCCAGGATAAATTCAACATTAGATTGAGGAGAGGTTAGAATGCTCTATATAGAGTTGTCCCCACTTATCTAAAGATGCAGCGCCAGTGGATTCAACCACACACAGATCAAGAAATAGGTTCACAGATGGAGCATCTGTACCCAGAATGTTCAAGATACAGAGGGCTGACTATATTTACATACACCTGCATAAACATAAAATATCTGGAAAACACATGAAACTGGTAACAGTGGCTACCTCTGGAGAGTCTGCAGGGGAAACAAGGCTTGCCCTTTTGTACTATTTGAAATTCATACACTGTGTGTGTGTGTGTGTGTGTGTCTAAGAAAAGCATCTATGCAAAGTAAAAACCACTACACTTACTGTCCAAACAATTTTGTTTTGCCATTAAGTAGCAAGTTAAGCTGATTAATCACTATGTAATTCAGTTTTCCTACTATTAAAAAAAAATCTAAGTTTGATATTTGGTGATTTACTAACCTTGGCAAACATTAGTACATAATTCAGGAACAGAGCTAGTCCTTCCAGGAGTGGAGAGTGAGCCACTCAGGGAAAGAAGGTATGTGGCCACAGCTCCCCACCTTTTTGGTTCTTTTTGGTTTTTGACCAAGGGGTTCTACAGACAGTCCTAGATTCCAATTCAGCACCCTCCTCACTTAGTTGTTTAGCAGAGTAAGTTATTTGACATCTGAGTTCTAGCTTTCTCAGCTTTAAGATGGTGTAATATTCATCAAGAGCTATGAAAATTAAAACTGAATAGCATACTTAACACAGTGCCACAATAGATACAAACAATAACTTCCAAGAAAAACCTTGCAGCATAACATTAACTAGTCAGCATGATCTTGCTGAACTCTGATATAAAAATTTAACAAAAACACAATCATTTCTCAAGTGTCCCAGACTGCAAAAGTAGAAGACTGTTCAAATGTTCTACGTTTTGTTAAACAAGAATTTATCAAAAGAAAACTCTTAATTTTAAGTATACTTAAATCATATGCCACTTCAAGTGGGAAGCATAATTCTACAGCATACTAATAAAGGCATAAACACAAAAACGTGAAGTCTAGGTAGTTTTGATGTGTGTATAGAAAGCACTATGTTCATTAGGTATGCACTGCTGTCACTTCAACCATGCAAACTGTTAAATAATTTCATCATCGGATATGGCGTATGTCCTCATCCGTGCCTTTCCAAAAATAATTAGTTTCCTCCCACACTAAACACAGATATTTAATAACTCTACAACTTAGGAAAGCGTCTCCAGACTCTGAAGACTCACACAGCACGCTGTCAGTCACCCTCATTTTAAGATTTCTTTTTTCCAGAAAAATCAATGGTTATTACAAACAGTACGATGAGAGCAAACAGAAACTCGACAAGACAAGCAGACAGGCACAAAGCATTCACCAGAAACCCGTCACATAAACGAGTTTCTGAACGCTGAGGACACACAGATCAGAGAGAACAAATCCCGCGGCGTGTCCTTTCTCCAGAGTTGAAGAAAGCCGCTAAACCTGGCGGCACGACCCCACGGTGTCACCCACTTTTCAGACTGTTTGCAAGCCTTTCTCCGCAACCGAGCAGGCAGCAAGCATGTCAGACACACACCTCCCCCGGAGTGTCTCCACAACACCTGACTGCCTAAGCATTTAAAGAAACCATTAGAGAAGTGGAGGGGAAAACCAAGGATGCTCATTTCCTAAGAATCAGAAGCAACCCCCCCCCCCAACCCCCGCGTCACGTTTTCTACCGTTCTGTCCAACATTGCATATTCCCAACGTAAAAGCTGTCTTTTTTAGAAACATGGGGGGAGCAGCAGCAAGCAGCCCGCGCGGCCGGGGGCCCCTGCGCCCTCCAGCCCCATCCCGACCGAAGCGGCGGGGCCCGCACAGCCCCGGCGCCCGCCCCCACCCCCGGGCGCAGCCGCCGCTTGCGGCCCCTCCGGGCTGGCACCGCGGCTGCCGGGCCCGCCAACACCGCCTCCCGCCCCGAAGCCCGCGTCTTCCCAGCCAGCCATTTTTTACCCGAGGAGGAGGCGGCCCGGCGCCCAGAGCGCGCTCGTTCAAACCTCTTCTCCTCCCTCCGCGGCCCAAGCCGCCCTCTGCCTTCTCCGGGCGACAAGGGGAGCTGACCGCCCGAGTAACGGCTTTTGTTGGTCTCAGAAGGGACCAGAACCATTTGCGATCGAATCGCGGATGATGCGGACCCAGCTGCGTGGGGGGCCCCGGAAAGGGGTGGGCCCAGGGCGAAGCGGCCTGGGCCGACAGCGCCGTCGCTCCGGGGCACGGAGGTGCAGCACGCGGGGGCGCGGCGAGCGCTGCCCTCGCCCTCCCACCCCCGAGTCCGGCACCCCGACGGCGGCGAAGGGGTGGGGGGAGGGAGCCGGAGGGAAAGACGGGGTCGGCCGAGTTTTCTTACCTAGCTCTCCGCTGGGAGTTGGGCGCGCTGGGTGGCCCGGGGAGGGGAAAAGGGTCGGGGGAGGGGGCGGGGAAAGGGGGAGCCTTGGCGAGGTGTAGCTTCGGAGCGGCTCCCGCCGGCGCCACAGCCGCCGCCTCCTTTCCAATTCACTCAAACAAACAAGATGGCTGCCGTTACGCCGCGGCTCTTCCTGCCGCCCAAATCCACGGTTCAAATCGGCAGGATGTTTACGGTCAAAATGGTACCTGTGCGCCTGCGCAGCCGGCCTAAGACCCAGAAGGAGCGACGCAGGCGCAGCGACCATTTCCTTTTCTTTGGAACCCGCCCACTGAGCGGGAGCTCGTCACTGAGCATGCGCAAAGGTGATTCTCTTGCGGGAGGGGCTTTCCGTGTACGGCATTAGCGAATAGCGCACGCGCGGTGCTTGTAGGTCCCGCGACTTATGGGGTCTCCTGTTATTCTTGCACTTGTTTTAAAGAAAATAGATTGTAGATGTGGAATTTTTGTGCCTTTGAGACAAAAATTCACTTGAATGCTCTTTAGCGAGGAAGGTAACACAAAACCTTTAACAGTGAAATCTAGGGGTTCATTCATTCAGTCAACGAATAGAGGGCCTTGTGCCCCATGTGCTGACTAGGCTGGGGAGGTAGTGATGAAAACAATGGCGGTCATTCCTCCCTTCATGAAGCTTGCGGTTTAGTTAGGGAGGAATAGTACCAGGAAGAACAGATGCAGATGGAAGACTAGCTTACTATTGTGTCCAGTTCCTGGCTGTAGATAACGTTACTTAACCCCGAGTCCACTTTTTCATTTATGGATCTCCGTACAGTTTATTGCTGAACAGTGTAACTGGGTCTTCTAAGTCAGCTGGATTTGATTCTTTTGATAAGGTGCATTTTCTGTTCTGGTTCAGAGTCCCACCGGATCAACATATTCACCTGCTTCACTGAAGTGTCGGGTTTCCCGAAGGACTTACTGCTGTCAGCATTTTCTCTACCTGGGCATACCTGATAAATGCGCATTTGTCAAATTTTGCAGTTTATTGGGCTAATACCTTGACAGGACAGATTTCAATTACAGATTTAATCTTCCTTCAGTTAAAAGTGGTTTGCTTTCCTTTTGAGAAACTGGATGTTGCCACTGGTTTGAGTACCCATCTAAAAGCAGCTGTGTTATATGTCTTATTGTTTCATCTCTCTCTCTCTCTCACACACAGAGCCCTGAGACCTTTTTTGTGAGATAAAAGCGTTACAGAACCATATATTATAACACATAGTAGCAGGCTTGTTTAAAATATAGACAAATTTTTTGCAAACTGTTTCCTTGAGCTAGGAAACATTTTGAATTATTGCGTATAATTTTTAAAATCTACAATGTTAAAATAATTATTTAAGTAGGATTGGTAAGAATGAGAGAAACAAGGCAGGAAGATAGATTTTCAGGAGATATTTAATGTTAGAAGTGGATGGATGTTGAGTATATTGCACCAATATTTTAAAAAATTAAAATAAAATCTATCTTGTTTCTAAAGCTGATCAAAGAAAAAAGTTCATAAAGAGTAAATAGCCTCTTTGAGATTTTGAGTTAAGCTGAGAAAATGGACTGAAAGTGACTGAAAAACATTGCAGATTCTGGTTGTCCTTCTAATGTCAACCAGGTATTGTCCATGCCTAAAAATGGACCATAATAGTTTGATCAAAAAGTGAATACCTTTAAAGACAGAATTTACAGTAAAAGTGTCATAATCAAATGCAGAATTTTTGAGAAGCAGAAGAGAAAAGGATGAAATGTCATTATTTAGAATAGCAATTCTTCCCAGTCTCCCGTGTGGGTGCAGGGGACCAAAATTGGACCATCTTTCCACTGCTTTCCTGGGCCATTTTCAGGGAGCTGGATCAGAAGTGGAGTGCCCAGGACTTGAAACAATGCCTATGTGGGATGTCAGCAGAAATACCAATTCTTAATACACTTGATACTAATTACAGTAAGTGAATGAGAACAGTGTGGTTGGGAGTGTTGAAAGTTTTACAAGTGGTGGATTTCATTCATAGTCACATCCTCATCTTCAGGCAGCAACTATGGGGTTCAAGCCAGGAGGCTAGGGGCCTGCAGCAAACATCCCTGTCAAGGCTAGGTTAAGGTTTGCTCAGATAGGTACTTAGCAGAGAAAACTCAGCCGGGGGTGGGGGTGGGGTCTGGGGTGGGGGTGGCGCTGTGGCTCACTTGGTTAATCCTCCGCCTGTGGCACTGGCATCCCATATGGGTGCAGGTTCTAGTCCCGGTTGTTCTTCCTCCAGTCCAGCTCTCTGCTGTGGCCCAGAAGGGCAATGGAGGATGGCCAAAGTGCTTGGGCCCCTGCATCCACATGGGAGACCAGGAGGAAGCACCTGACTCCTAGCTTCGGATTGGCACAGCACCAGCTGTAGCGGCCATTTGGGGGGTGAACCAGTGGAAGGAAGACCTTTCTCTCTGTCTCTCTCTCTCTCTCTCTTTCTCTCACTGTCTAATTCTGCCTGTCAAATAAAAAAAAAAAAAAAGAAAGAAAAGAAAAGAAAACTCACCAGGGTCTAAGAGCGAGTTTGTCTGTAGGCCAGAGGTTATGTAAATGTGTCAAGGACTAAGGTAGAGCAGCCTCAAGAACAGAAGCCAGGTCAGGGTCTATGTTAACCAGTTGAATTTCAATCAGAAAATTTCAACATTTCAGTACCATGAGCATTTTTAAATCTAGGTGAGAATTTGAGTGAGTATTTTGATATATTTACTCTATTTTCATCCCTGCTATCTTTTTCTATAATAGTGCTGTATCTTTGACAATAAAGGTACTTAGTGAAAGCTGGTGGATAGTGTTTCCCCACTCCAGCCATTCCAGAATGCAGACATTTTTTGTTTTAATGTGCTATACATTGTTCCATTCATTCTGCAAAATTACTTCAAAAATTATTGGAAAAAATTGGAGAAAAAAGGGGTTGAGATAGATTTCTTAAAAACCAGTGAAGCTACCACAAATGTTAACAATTCTAGTAAAAATCATTGCAAACTTTAAAGGACATGTTACATTGCTATGAATCAGTGTTACTACAAAGAAGGCACAGGTGCTTGATGGAAAGTGTGTGAGAAGCTGCTGAGCTGTAAGAAATGAAAATGTAGGGATTAGAGAAACTCCTACAGTAAGCACTTCAAAGACACAGCATGGGGCCAGACTGAACCAAGAGCCAACTGGAAGTGAACGGGCATTGTGTATAGTACCTGCTTCTCAGGGCTGGCTGTTCAGCTGGGTTAATATGTTTGCATTAACATGATGAGAACAAGAATTTAACTTTTTTTGGGAAATAATGTCTCACCTGAGTTGGTGTACCTTCTATGTTGTTTAGAAACAATTGCCCTACTTGCTAAACATGTATGAAGATTAGCATTATTCTACGAACACTATATGACTTAAGTTATTTCCCTAAGACTAACATTAGGGCTTTCTTCAGTGGGGTCTGATATATTCATGACAGGTAGCAGAGAATGATACTTGCCCACTTTTAATGGGTTTACTACTTACCTCAGGGTATTGTTTAAATCAAGTTTTAATTCAGTAGTTTGGGGGAAGGCCTGAGAGTCTGCTTTTAACTTTTTCCAGATAAGTCCAAGGCTGTTGGATTGTGGGCCACACTGAAGAACAAGGAGTTGATGAAAATAGATTGCACCATGGTTCTTCCATTCAGTAACCCTGTGACCTTTGGAAGTTGTTCAACCTCTCCAAGGTTGTTTTATCATTTGTAAAGTCAAACTAATCATATCCAACCTCTTAATATTTTGGTGTTCATTCCATGCAATGATGCATGTAAAGCATGGTGTTTGACAAATGTATGAGCCCAGTAAATAATAGTTATTATTCTAATTTTATTGTGTTATTATTTCTTGTATTTGGACACCTAGTCACATAGAATACTTACTTTCCTCAGCATATTTACCATTCTGATGTCATCTAGTGTTTCTGCCCTTTATTTTATATTGAATCTTTATTTTAGATGGATCTTTATTGTATATTGAATATTATGAAGAAAGCTGAGAATTGCTTCCCGACATTTTTGCCATTTTATTTAGTTTGCCACATGGAGGTCAGCTAAAAGATTACTTATACCTCTTATATGTAGATGTAATTGACTAAATATTCTTTTGAGCAAGAGTTATGTGGACATTTCTAGAAGATTTCCAACCAAGGATTGGCCCACCCTACTTTTGTTTCTTGTATTGTTGATTGGATTATGGATATGATAGCTAGTACTGCAGCAACTATCCTGGACAATGAGAACCAAAGTTAAATTAAGGCCAGTGGAACCTTAAAATTGGATAATCCTGAGTCCCTAACATTATAGACTCATCATGTAAGCCATAACTGCCTACTTCCAGATTTCTTTGATGTAGTAAGAAAGTCTAGTCTTGATATTTTTGTTTGCAATGTATCTGTTAGTGATAGAAACATTGATTTGGTTCAAGTAGTTTAGAAGATACAGGGGACACAAAAATGAACGTCTGCTCTCTAACTCAAGTAGATGAATCTTCTATATCATGGCAGTTGTCTTTAGGAGCATACTGTTTTATAATTTCATTGGCAGAATTTTCTCTCATATAAACTTCATTATGAAACACTTTTCCACCCTTGGTATTTTTTTGAACATACTCCTAAGTCTCCCACCGAATGTGCAAATTTTTCTTGCATATTCCATTCTTTTTTTTAAAAAAATTTTGAACCATAGGATGAAAATCAAGACTTGTAAA